TTAATTTTTTTTCCCCAAAAAAACGACTAAACCAATGCCCCCCCCCCCCCCCCCCCCCCCCCCCTTTAAAGGCCTTTTTTTTTCCAACCCGGAAGCCGATAAAACCCCTCCCCCCCCCCCCCCCCTCATAACCCCTTTTTCTCTCCAAAGCCGAAGCCGTAAACAAGCACTAACTAACCCCCCGCCCCCCCCCCCCGTGCCTCCCAAACCAACCACCAGTGCACCAAGACGCTACTTCACCAAGGGCACCTATGTCCGCTCCCGCTCTCGGCGAGGCCGATCCACTGGGAGCTGGACGACGCCCTGTCTCTTTACCCGCTCCCGCACGTGGCCGTGCTTGCGGACAGGACCGAGCAGTACCGATGGTTGCTCAACGACTGCTGCTCGCTCAACCCAGGCTCCTTCCCCAGCGACTCCTCCTTTGTGGTGTACCGGCCCGCGACGCGGACCGTCGAGTTCAGCCACGTGGACTGACCTACCATGCCACGACCATTCATTCACCATGACCATGACCATCGGCTGGTTTTACGGGGTGACGACGGCGGCGGCGGCCATGTGTGACTCGAATTCTCTTGCGTCGTGTGCTTGCTGTTGTTGTTTCAGGACTTGAACAGATGCATACAATATATGTTGCCGACGCTCACCGCGTTGCCTCTCTCGTGAAATGGGGGGCGTCCGTCTCCCCATGGTGTATCGACAAGCTTGCCGAGTCGTTGGTGTCATTGTCTTCGCACTGAAAAGAAAAGTGCTGTTGTCGTTGTTGTCTTCGCATTTTAAGAATAATCCGCTCTGGTCTCTGCTCAGCACCTTCTAACATCGGTACCGCTCCACAGATGACGCGGACGGTGTGGTCACCGGGCAACTACAGCAGCTAGCTCCCAAAAAAGTTACACACCAAAGCACACAATGCTCCTTGAATATTTGAAGCGAAGTCTTGATCTGGTGCCCATCCATCGTTTGTTTGTGGATCGTAGGCAGACTGCCGTCGTGACGTCCGGCAAAACGCCGGTCACACCAGCACATGGGGGCAAGATGACACGTTCGTTGCGTAGGCCATTACTCGCCAGGCTGCCTTGCGTGCTTGTGAAAAAAAATGACTTTGGGAGAGTACCGCAAAGAGTCGGAGAGAGAGATGGCACCCCCTCGTTGGCGTTTTTTTTACATACAGCGTACAATTTCTCCACAACTATGTAGAAGGGTGCGAACACCGACCAAGACCTCTCAGCAAAGCCCTCCTCGAGATGTCTCCAAAACTACATAGCCTCTTTTTGGAAGTGGTACCCCCCTGGTTGTGGAAAATTACGCTACAAAAAAAAAAACTAACACGAGCGGGTCATCTCTCCGACATTTATTTACGGTGTTGAAGGGTGGCTTCGAGATTGATTGTCAAGACTCTACGCATATTTGCGGGGGACCCTCGGTGGCTGTCGCTAACACTACACCATCCTGGGTAACTAGTGTCTTGCCAGTTTTTTTTTTGCATGTACGTGAGAAACCAGCAGTCATTGGATCATCACTGATTGGAGGAGATCCGCTTGACGTACGTTTTGGGGTTGGCTGTCGAAGAGAGGGAGGGAGGGAGCATACTGCTGTCGATCGCTCCATGTTCTAGACAGCAAAGGCTTCCTTCCGTTTGGGGAAGAGAGGGCGGCCCACCAGGGCGATGTCATTGAGCAATAGTTGATGATGATGTGCCTTGTTCTACCGGGGGATGAACGTGCATGAACGCACGCGTCGCTCACGTTGGCATGTCTGTGCACCACGAACAAACAAACCTGGGTTACAAACCAACCGCCAAACGATGACAAGCACGCAAGAGCTCAGACAAAAAAAAGACATATTTCTCGTCCATTCACAGGGACCAAACCTTTTCAACAATCGGAATCGATTCGAAAAGCGGGGAAATGATCCATCGAAAAAAGGTCTTCATGGCGACGCTTCGCGCGCAAGTCGGAAACACCCATACATTTAGCAGTCCCGAAAAAACGAACGAACGGCCTGACTGAGCGGAGGTCCTTTCTTCGACAGAAAACGGGCGCGGGACCGATCAACACAAAACAGACATACGAAGAAAGCCGAACCTACAGTAGGTTTCGCGGCGTGCCACAACGTGACCCGCCAACCAAACGGAAACAATAAATGGCGGATGCCACAACACCTGCCATCTCTTGTGTACGACCACTTCTTGTGTAACCGGGTATACAAAGCGTTTTCTGCCATGCGCCAACCAAACAAGCTCGTCCACTTGTATCAGAAACGAGATTTAATAATAAAGGAGAGCTACAACCCCAGCTGCATGCAAAAGAAAATGAGATGGTTATCACAGGTAATATATTGTCTACATTCCCACCAATCGCCGCCCCACCGGAACCAAACACCCCCTATACACAGGAGGCAAAACGAAAGCCACGTACACACATGTGATATACACATGTGATACAACCACGCGGTGCTCGTGCCCCATGTATCTCCCAGAAAAAGTGTGGGGCTACCCAACACACATCCGTTATTACCTCACGGAACGCAATCGCCGTCGGCATAAAAACAAATCTACACCAGGCGGAGATCCTGATCCTGATGATGTCCGTCACCGAAAAAACATGACGAGGCTCTCGAGAAAAACTCCGAACACATGAACGACCCTCACAATCGGTGAGGGGGATTAGAAAGGGGACCAAACAAAAAGAAAACGATAAGGTTCCCGTAACACGTACTCTGCGTCTTGATGGAACTTTCCCGAAGACTTCGTGCTATGATCTCCACCACTACTAAATAGAAGTACTACCGACAACGGCTCAATACTCGCGTGCTCCCTGCACACGCGGGGAAGACATTTCCCAAAAACCTACTGCACCACCCACCCAAAAGGTGTATTGGCCAAACCGTGCATGACTGGTGGTGACAAGCCACCAATTCGGAAAAGGCAATAAAAGCACACCAACACACCAACACCACGGCTGGCGCGCGCAGGACAAAATAAAAACACGCAACACAAGGCAATCGATACCCTACACGTCTTGCTGCTGCTACTGCTGCTGCTGCTGCTACTGCTGCTGCTGCTGCTGCTGCTGCGCGAAGCAACGCATGTCGCAGCGACAACACGGGGCAGAAAATTCCAACTTCGGGCAAAGCCAAAACACCAACAAGGTAGGGGGGGGGGGGGGGGGGGGGGGGGGCCCCAACCCCCCCCAAATACCCCCCACCCAACCAAAAAACCCCCCCCTCCCTTTTCCCCCCCCCACCTCCTAAGCCCCCTAAACATTTAACCCCCCCCCCCATATTTCTCCCCCGGATGTTACAAAAAAAAATAAAACCCCCAATTTCCCACCCCCAACATTTTCCCCCCCGGGGAAACAAACCCCCCCCCTTAAACCCGCCTTTCCCAACCCAAACATCTTGGCTTTAAAACAACTACCCCAACAAATTGGCCCCCAAGCCCCCCCAATTTCCCCCCTGCCAAAAAAAAACTACATTCTTCCCCACAGGAGGGGTCTTCC